CATCACTCGCACTACCGCCTGAACCATCCCCCCGCCCTCCACCCCCGTCTGTAGAGAAGTTGTCTTGCACAAAACCAGCCCCTGGTGCCAAAACGGTTGGGGACCGCTGGCCTAGACGGTCTCCTGCAGGGAGTCGGGAGCTGCCTGCTCTCACTTACTGGCTGTGTGACCTTGTTCAGTCAGCTCAGATAAAGAGTGTGACATGGACTGTTCCAGGGATTCTTAAATGTGGGCGATTTGAAAATCTGACGGAAGTTACCGACCTTTCCCCCAACTTTGTGTAAAGCTTCAGGCATTAGTGACCCTAAGGGCCCCGAGGACTTGGGTTTCTGGGGTTTTGGGCACATGAGCACACAGTACCTACCGAGGGTCCCTGAGGTCATGCTAGGTTTGGGAGCTGAGCCCCAGCTGAGGACGCAGACCTCTGGGCCCCCCACATAGCTCCACCTGCAGGCCGTGTGCTGGGTGCTGGGTGCTGGGTGCCTGCCCCAGAGCCACAGTGTGGAGACCTGCTGGCCCAGTCTCCTCGCCCTGTGGGACACAGTTCTCCCCTCTCTCCTGTGAACTTGGCCTCTCTTCTGATCCCGCATCACACAGTAGTAGGAGGATGACAACACACACACACACACACAGGCACCACGTGTACACACTCACACGTGAGTACAGACACAGGACACATGGACACACTTAGACGTGAGCACACATACGTAAAAGCACACGCAGATACATAGACAACAGACAGACACACATCTGCCCACTCAGGCACACGTGCGCATGCACACACACATGCCCTTCCCGTGTTTGCCCAGCACCCATCTGTCCCTCCCACCAGCGCCACGCGTGTCCTGGGCCCAGTGCGGGCCTCACACACCGTTGCTCGCGGTCATCACTCCAGTCAGAGCGCGAGGGGAGCCTGGGGCGGGGGGCGCGGAGGGGCACAGCCCTTCTGATGCTGTCCCCCCTCACGCAGTCGGTGCCCATCATCTCCCACTCCCGCTGGCTGCTGAAGCAGGGCGAGCTGCAGCAGATGTCAGGCCCCAAGACATCCCGGACCCTGCGGACCAAGAAACTCTTCCAGGAAATTTACCTCTTCCTCTTCAACGACCTGCTGGTGATCTGCCGGCAGATTCCGGGGTGAGCGGCAGGCAGGAGGGATGGGGAGTCACCATGGCCTGGGGGCAGCGGGTATGGTGCTGGGAAGTAGCCCAGGCCCTGGATCCGCTTTGAAGGCCTGCTCCGTTCTGGTCCAGCCTTGGGCCTTCGGGCAGGTGTATTTCAATGCCCTGAGCTTCCGTTTCCCCTCCGTCTAGCGGGGGCTGTACCCCTAAGGACGTGGAGAGTCCAGCTCAGTGCCTGACACCTGGGGCGGGCTCGGCAGAGCGGCCCCTGCCGTGTCATGGGTGCCGACCCCTCGTCCGCCGTACACACTGTGGAGCGCGGGGGCTGGGGGTGAGGGGGACAGGCGGTCAGGTGGGGGGCTTCCGGAAGGAGGTGAGGAGTGGCAGCAGAGGGGCCGGCCTCGCTGGCCAGGGTATAGCGTTTCCTGGAAATCCGAGCCGCCGCCTCCTCGGGACTGATGTGCCTCTGCTGCCACCCTCGGTCCCCAGAGACAAGTACCAGGTGTTTGACTCGGCCCCGCGGGGCCTGCTGCGAGTGGAGGAGCTGGAGGACCAGGGCCAGACGCTGGCCAACGTCTTCATCCTGCGGCTGCTCGAGAATGCGGACGACCGGGAGGCCACCTACATGCTGAAGGCGTCCTCTCAGTGAGTGCCCAGCGCCGCTGTCGCCTGCCCGGGTGGAGCGAGGCTCCAGGCTTGGGACACCACCGCCCTGTTCCTGTCCTTCCTCCCCCCAGGCGCTGCCGGGAGGGTTTCTGTGCAGTGTTAGCGTCAGGGTGTGTGTGTGTGTG